GGGGGGGGGGGGGGGGGGGGGACGGACGGACACGTAGATGCTATTTGTAATGGCCCAGCTGGGGACATATAAGTTTCTATCTCCCAGAAGGAACTGAGTTGAGGTTAGCATAAGCCATTCGGGAGGCGTTAAAATTATTCTTTTGGCCAATAACTGGAGGTGGCAGACGACATGGGGGCCGCCATTAGCTTTAGAAAACAAACCCTGTGTGTTTTCAAATCCTGGCAATGTTGGTGCCTTCTTTGGCTGGCACAGATAATGAATGCTCCTGATGAAGTCGCTAAAATGCCTCTCCAACTGTTCTTTTTATTAAACAAACGATAGGAAATTATAACAGGCTAAGGGCCCTTAGCCCAAATATTAGCCAACTGGCCAAGAGGAAGGAGGAGGAAGACAGTATTTACTATTAATCTCTGAGTCAATATATTAAGTGGAGGCAGAGCTAACCCGTGTCTGATTATGAATTTCAAAAGCATTTTCTGTCGGCAGTGATGCTGTGGACGTCCCTGGTGCTTTGTAACTGGGTTTTTTGTTTTGTTTTGCTTTTTTCCTTTAATAAAATTGCAAGCTCCTAAAATGGCAGTTAGACAGTCTATGCAAGATGCAATTGTGTTTTTTTCCCCTTACTTTGCTGGTTATTCTTAACTGAAGACACTTGTCAGACATGCAATAAATGTTCACTGAGTGTTTTGACTGAGTTATCTCAAAACTATTGTTCTATGCTAAGAATAGAAACCACCGAGCAGAAACCAGTGAAATAAGAGTGATTCCTAGCATTCTAGTGGAATGTGTGCTCTCTACAGCAATATTTCATGTGTAGACTAGCTCTAAGGAGGGATCATGAGCATTCTAATGAATGTTCCTCGGATGCAATGTGGTGGTTCCCATCTGTAAGTTTCCCACTTGATAGTAGAGGCAGGAGGGTCGTGCTTTCAAGGCCAGCTTTAGCTATAAAGCAAGTTTGAGGCTAGCCAGGACCACAGGAGAGCACGTCTTTAAAAGAAAAAAAAAATGCTTATCTAGTCTACATTGTCACAAATTACATTTTCATTTTTGAGGAAAGGACCCAAGAGTTAACCAACAAGAAAGTCTGCTCAGGGGTGAGGACATGAGGACATTACTGGTTATGATTTTGTTATGAGGTTTTCAAGAACTGATTCAGAATTTTCTAATTGCTGTGGATTACAGGGAGGGCTGGAGAAACCACAGAATTTCCACAGCAGGTTTCCAAATGTCACAAACTGACAAATTTAATCGAGAACCTTCCTGGTGACTTGGAAAGATGTTAAAAGGGCCTCTAATATCTAAAGTCAATGGCAAAAAGTCCACACACCAAAGACCTTACTCCTGGGTGCCCCTGGGCCATATGTAAATTTTTTTCTTCCTAGCTCAGTGTCTCTGCTTAGGGCGCTTTCCGGGGCTCAGTGTATTATAATAACAAGCTCAAATGGGACAAGATACGGTTAAGGAGAAGAAATGAACCGAGGCAGCCTCGGAATCAAGAGGATGGTGAAATTAGAACCACAGATATGAAGACAAAAGTGTAGGCAGCAATACCTACCCCTCCCCAGGAAAAGTTCCCCAGCAGTCTGAGGCCTGTTGGGCAGAGATAAAGCAGCACAAGGTTAGGAAGAGACCGCTCTATAAACACTCGGCACAAAACCTAACAACGAAACCCTGGGCCTCAACTTCTCGCCCCACCGGGAGTCCTGCTTCCACCGTGAAGTCTTTGCCTACGGGCCATGCAATTTTTCTTCTGAGCATCCCAATAAGCAAGAGAATCAAAGGCATCCATGTTATTGTCAGCACTTTTTTTATTTAACTGTGGCATTTATCTTCTTATAGGCATTTGCAACTAGACAAAGAAAACATAAGTTCTCTCTTTCAGTGTGCACGTGTGCGTGGGTGCGTGCGTGTGCGTGTGCGTGTGCGTGTGTGTGTGTGTGTGTGTGTGTGTGTGTGTGTGTGTGTGTTGAGACTAGGTCTCATTAAATAGCCCAGGTTGGCCTGGCCTGGAACCTGCTGTTGATGTAGCCCAGGCTGACCCCAAGCTCTCAGTGCTCCTGCCCTAGTTTTCTGAGTGCTGGGATGACAAGCCCACACCACCTGAGGAGTATCCGCGACTCTGAAACTGAGTTTGATTGTTGTAACACCTCCTCCAAGTGTTTTTTAAAACTCCGCTTTATCTCGCCGTTCCTAGTATACTCCAATTTGTCTTACACTCAGCACCTACGAGTAAACTCTAAGTGTGGTCAGTGAGGATAAAATAAAACTTACAGTGTTCTTCATGAGTCTGGGGGCTTGTATTTATGTCGCCTAAAAACACATCTGCAGTTTTGTGACACGGGCTGATAATGCTTGGGGTAAAAAATCTTTTGCATATATTGATTTCTTACAGACCATTAAGATTCGGTGCATGAGTGCGAAAACATTCACTCAGTATTTAAAAAACAAAACAAACAAAAAAAAAAAACCCATAGGTTCAAATTGCTAAATTTAAAAAATGGTTAGGGGAGAGAGCTCAGCTGAAAAAGTGCTAGCCTTGAAAGTAATGAGGACCTGAGTTTACCCCCCAGAACCCATGTTTCATAAAAGAAATGCTGAGCACAGGGGCACGTGTTTGTCATCCCTGCACTGAGGAGGTGGAGACGAATGGTCTGGGCTTCCCTGGGAAGTTCCAGGTCAGCGAGAGAATCTGTCTTTAAAAAAAAAAAAAAAAAAGTGGATGGTGCCTGAGGAACTGCACCCAAGATTGTGCTCTGGTCTACGCAGGCAAATGCATAGGATGTGTACCCCCTCACACCCACACCCACTCAAACACACTCATACACTAGCACAGGCAAATGCATAGGATGTGTACCCCCTCACACCCACACACACCCACACCCACTCAAACACTAACACAGGCAAATGCATAGGATGTGTACCCCCCCACACCCACACACACCCACACACACTCAAACACTAACACAGGCAAATGCATAGGATGTGTACCCCCCCACACCCCCCACACACTCAAACACACTCAAACACTAACACAGGCAAATGCATAGGATGTGTACTACACACAAACACCCACACACACTCAAACACTAACACAGGCAAATGCATAGGATGTGTACTACACACAAACACACACATACACACTCACTCAAACACACTCATACACTAACACAGGCAAATGCATAGGATGTGTACCCCCACACACACTCACTCAAACACACTCAAACACTAACACAGGCAAATGCATAGGATGTGTACTACACACACACATTCAAACACACTCATACACTAACAAACAAGTTAAAAATGAAAAAATTGTCAGAATATTTAAAACGAACTTTTTCTCCTAAGTGGAAAAAATATCTACCTCCTGAATAAAGCTCTTACACCCACGTGGCACTGGTCTCCATTGCCAATGAAGGGGGCAGGTCTTTGAAAAGAGTCCTATTTCATTATCTCTTATATCCTTCCTTTAAGGATCAAGAAACATCATCCCTTCTGCCCTTGTTGCGTGAATGTGTGTCTGTGTTGTAATCCACAACGAACTGTTCAAAGAGAAAGTGGCAGGAGAGGTGTGGTCACCAAACTTAGATCACAAATACGTGAACTCCTAGTGAATGTAATCGAGCCAGGGCCTGGGTTTGGAGATCGCAATCTCTTTGCTTATCTGTCTCCTGCGGGTTCAAGGAGCTGGGAGACCTTGTGGAGGAGGTCGGATGGAGAAATATGTTCCCACTGAAATCATCTTCCAGGCTG